TTTAGAATAAATTTACATTTTAAAAGAACAAGGTTGGATCTTCTCTGATGTCATAAAAAGTCAGGAACTTACAAGAAAAAATAAAAAATAAAAAATTACCGACCAACTAGGAGCAAATTTCAATATAAAAATTTGAAATCTTTTAGAATAAATTTACATTTTAAAAGAACAAGGTTGGATCTTCTCTGATGTCATAAAAAGTCAGGAACTTACAATAAAAAATAAAAAATAAAGGTAAGTAAATGCATAAATGTATCATATTAAAGTCCATGTAAAATGGCAAAAGCTATATATTCTGAGCTTGTCAACTTACAGAAATATGCTATTAACCATCCAGCATCAAGAAAATGGCAAAAAATTCCCTTTACACAGGCTTTAAAACTGAGTCTTTTTAACATAAATAAACTGTAAAAAACAAGAAAAAAAAACAAAAACAGAAATACATTAAAAAAAGAAAAACTCAGAATTTTACTGAGATTTTAAATGAGATCCATGTGATATAATTGCCAGAAACCTGCGACTGAAGTGATTTTTCTCACATATTTTGAGTGGAAATGATAGGAATCTGTTTTGGAATGAAGCATAAAGTGAATTTCTATAACTGTTCCCCATGTTGATTGTTCTTACAGTTCGATATAATCACCTTTCAAACACCTGGTTCTAGATCACTTAGTTTGGTTGGAGTCTAGACTCTCATTATTCCTCCTCTCTTTGCAGCTAAGAAACGTGTTAAAAATAAAAAGGCTGCCGCCCCTCGACCTCCGCCCCTCCTCCTCATTCAGGATGCAGAGACGGCTCTGCTACGGCTGCAGGAGCGAGTTTCTGCTCTCTTGCTTCGCCACCGGGCGCCCTCTCCTCCCACCCCAACACGACGCCCCAGCAGCCTGCCTGCCTGGACAGGCGCCGCCCCCCTGTGGCAGAAAAGTTCTCTGTTGGATGGGGACTCTAACTTCTACACTGCAGAGCTCCAGCACCTCTTCACTGCAGAATCTGCAACGGTAAAGAAAAGAAAGATGAATCTTTGTTGAAACGGTTTACATAAACTTAAACCTTTTAAGCTTCTTAAAACAAATAAAGTGTAGAATTTTATATCTCCTTTCAAAGTTTACTCCATCATTGGATTTTAGGCTGCCTGAGCTAAATTACTTCCATATAGTTTATTCTCCTATCCTCTGTGTGGATATCTTTAATAGGCTGTTCTTCTGTTTATTAAATTTAGGCCAATGAAGTCTCATCAAGCACCAACAGCAAGCCAGAGTCTTGTGTCCCGCCTGTGCTGCCCTCCTGCTCCCAGGCGGCGTCCTCGGCTCCTTCCACTCCAGGGACAGGAGGACTCAGTGTGGGAAGCCAGGCCCTCCAGGATCTGATGGATCTGGCTGAAGACGGCATGACTCTGACACAGTATGGATACTCGGACAAAGGTAAAACAAATCCTGTCAGCAGTAGAAAGTATTTGGAAAAGTAGTTGGATTGTTAAATTAAACCTTAATTTGTCCACAATCTTGAATGGAATCGGTGCCTGAAATGTTAAAACCAACATGCACCATAAAAGAGAGGAAATTACCGCAGGTTTCCTTATAGATGCAGTAGTTTTAGTCCAACAGAAAACTGATTTCCTGTTCTGGTGTTTGATCTGCTGCTCACCCTGTCTTAGTGGTCAAGAGCAAATTGGTATTTATTACTGTGCCAAAGTGTACTCTTAAAAAAGACAAGAACAATGCCGTAAATTAAATCTGTGCTTTTCAAAAGCTTTTAGTTTGTCTCATCAAGCTTTTGGTTGTGATCTTCTGTTTTTTCTGCAGCCAAACACCTGAGCGGTTTCATTCAGGAGGAAGAGGTGGAGGATCAGGCAGAACCGACAGGTGACGCTCACAGCAGCCAGACGGTGAGGAGGTCACATCACCCGGATGCAGACAGAGACAGCCATGAGGCGGTGAGACACTTATTCAATTCTGTGCTTTGTTTCAAGGACTGGGACTTATAAACTATTGGAATTATACAGGTGGTAAAGTATTTCAAGTGTTTTATTGGTATTTATAATCATATATGCACACAATACTTTTTTAAATAACCATTAATAAAATTCAACTGCAAAAAACGTTCTGAAAATGAGTAAAGATTTCTTAAAATAAATGTATTTGCCTTTAATTTGAGAAGGAAAATAAGATGATCTGCCAATTGAATCAGCATTTATCCATAAAATAAGATAATTAGACATGACATGCACTTAAAATAAGAGACTGCAGTTGTTTTTTTTCTTATTTTAAATGTAAATTGTCTTATTTCATTGGCAAAATGTCTCACTTGCTTGCTCAATTCAAGAAAAATGCACCTATTTTAAAAACGAAAATGAAGTACTTGTATGCAGTGCTCTAAAGCTTTTTTTTTAGGGTTTCCCAGGCACCTCTTTAGAACATCTTTGACTCCCTCGTTTAATCTTGATGTTTCTATCACTACTTTTTTCAGTTCATCTGCTGATTAATGGTGTATTTCGTCAAAACTATTGTTCCTTTTTTGTTTGTATTTATGTAGATTATCATCCAGGATGCATTAAAAGCCCTTTTAATGTTTGCGCTAAGCTTTATTTGTTGTTCGTTTGTTTTCTCCATAGGTGGCGCTAACCAGGCTGTCATCAGACCTGAGAAGCATGGTTAACAACCCTCAGCTCAGTGATGTGCAGCTCCAGGTGGACAGTGGAGATGTCTACTTTGCACATTCCTTCATGGTGTACGCTCGCTGCCCCCTGCTGGCTGAAATGGTAAATTGATCCTCATAAATGCCCTGTGTTTGTTTTTTTATGATTTTATTTTCATTTTTATTTTTTTTACATAAAATAATTTAAACTGCATATCTAAGGTAGCCCTAAATGCTCCCACAATATACTGCTTTATTTATTATTTATCTGAATATGTAATGAAAATATCTTCTAATGTGGGGGGAATTATTTTTTGATTTTGATATTCTGCATCAGTATGAATATTGTTTTATTTTGTCCTTTTCTTCTTCAACATATATTTATTAAACTTTAGCAGTTTAAACAAACATCTTGAAAGAGATACAAAATATTACCACAGCTGTAGTAGTGTTACTGTTCAAGTCAAAATAAAATACAGACAACAAGGTGCCTCACAAAATATTGGTTCCAATGTGACTGATCACATTTCGTGCTTAACCTCTTATACTGAGAATTAAATTTGACACTATATGTCCTCAAATAAATTGTCTTTGGGAACTGTAGTTCACATGTTCTTCAATCACTTGCACCGTCTTCTGAGATATTCAAATTCTTTACATAATTAATGAAGGAATTCCAAATAGATTCAAACTATTTTGTCATTTTAATGATTGATTCAAGATTCTTTTTTAGGATTATAATTGGTTCACCTTTTAGTCTGGGAAAATAACTATTTTGTAGGAAACCTAAATGTCCTTTTACCAAGTTATATGTTGACTAGACACACATTGACAAAATTGTTGGTACGCCTCATTTAATGTGATAAAAATCCACAAAGATCACAGAGATAACTTGAATTAAACAAAAGTAATCATAGATTAAAAACTATGGAATGAACAAATGAAAGTTAGACATTGGTTTCCACCTGTATTTTAACATAATTCTAAAAACAAATAAGCTCATGAAGCAGTCCTAGACACAGTTAATGGTATCTCTAGAAAAAAAAAAATTTATGTAACCGAAGCGACATTTGAATTCAAGCTGTGTTTACCGATTTGCATCACATGTGTCTCCAATCTTGTAAACAGTCAGTGGGCCTCACTGTGGTGTTTGGTGACATGGTGTGTACCACACTCAACATGGACCAGAGGAAGTAAAGGCAATAGTTATTTCAGGAAATTAGAAAGAAAATTAAAGTCAAGACTGTTAGAGGTAAATTTTAAAACCAACTCCAAGCAGAAATGCTCATATGGCTGCAGTTACACATATTATTCAGAAATGTAAGATCCATGAGACTATAGAAAAAACCCCTGGATTAGAAAAGTTGATTAATCCAAAAAGGTATAATAGGAATGGCAGCAAAAGAGCCCAGAAAAACTTCTAAAGAGATAAAGCCCAAGGAACATCGAATTCAGATCACACCATTTGTTGTTTGAGCCAAAGTGGACTTAATGGGAGTCGACCACGCAGGACACCATAGTATAAAACAAATTATAAAAAAGGCAGACTGGAATTTGCTAAACTACATGTTAACAGGTCACATAAAAGACAAAAATTGAACTTCTTGCCAAAAGACATCAGAGTTCATAGAAGAAAAATGAAGCATTAAAAAAAAAAAAAAACAGTCCCCATTATGAAATATGGAGGAGGCTCTGTTATGCTCTGGGGCCTCTTTGCTTCATGCGTGGAATGTCTTAAATGTCTACCAGGTCCAATGAAATCACGACTATGAGGGTATTCTAGAGAGAAATGTGCTGCCCAGAGTCAGAAAGCTTGATCTCAGCTGCCTGTCACAGGTCTTCAACTGGAAAATGACCCAAACAAAGCCAAGAATGGCTAAGAGGGAAACATTGGACTATTCTGAAATGGCCTCCTATGAGCCCTGATCTAAATCCTGTTCGCATATTTGGAAGGAGCTGGAAAAGGCTTCCTTCACACCTGAGACAACTGGAGCAGTTTACTCATGAAGAGTGGGCCAAAATACCTGCTGAGAGGAGCAGAAGTCTCATTGACAGTAACAGGAATCGTCTGATGGGAGAGATTACCTCTAAAGGTTTTAAAACAAAATGCTGTTAAGGGCAACCTCTTTTTGTTCTGTTCTGTTGCACGAGTCTTTTTTTTTTTTAATCATTCAGTTGAAGCGTATTGAAATTCAATGTCTGACTTTCATTTTTTTCATTTTGATAGAATTTCTCTTTATTATTGCTTTTGTCAGATTCAAGTTATTTCTGTGACCATTTTCTTTCATTAAATGAGGAATACCAGTAATTCTGTCCATTTGTGTGGGTTTGAATTGTTTTCAAGGTTTTATTCAGAAAAATCTTAATGCCAGAGGTTTATTGATGGCTACATAACCTGTGTTCTCTGAATGTTGATGCAAGGTAAAAGTAGTGTGGAAGTATTTATGTTTTTTAGCTTTTAAATAAAACTTTTGGCTTTGTGGATTTTATATATGAATAAACCCAGAGTTAACGTAAACTTAATTAAATCTCTAAAATAAGGTGGACCTTTTTGGGAAATTTGAGGACATCATATGCTTGAAGGGATTGGGACAGAACGTAAATCTGTTCCTTTTTTTGAGGATCTTTTTCTCCCTTTTCCCAGGTTTATGAAAGTGGGTTCGGGGTGCAGGAGGAGGGCATGCCGGCAGCTCAAAGGGTGCTGTTAAATGACATGCCTGGCCAGGCGGTGCTGGCTCTGCTGCAGTACCTGTACACCGCCCACTGCTCCATCACTGCACGGCTGAGGCCTCATGTGCTGGAGTTGGCATCCAGGTTAGTCTAATGTTTATTCTAGATGTGAATAATGTAATTTTATTCAAAAATTGTCATTTTGAGGAGGAAACAATGTATTTCAGATATCAAAAATGCATATTCAGACAAACTAATTTATATTTAAACAACCTGTTGTAACAACAATAACTTTACGGGGGAGGTGATAGTTTACTGCTTGAATGGTAGTGGATCAATGTTTTGTATTTACATGAAATCTTCTGTAAGCAGGTGAAAAAGGAGTAGAATAAAGAATTTTATTCAGTAAGTAGAACCTGTTCATCTCATGGGGCTCCCATTTTTATTCTGTCTTCCATCTCACAGTAGATAAGTAGCTGTTTGACTGTGCAGTTTTATTTTCTATAATGCTGTTATCATACATCAAAGTTCTCCCAGCAATATCAAGTTCTGCTATATACCTGTTAAAGAAGTTTAATGCTACAGATGTGAGGATGGATCAGGGTATGTGATGGATCGGGATGTGAAACTGTAGCGCTCATAAAGATACCTGTCTGAATATGAAATGAGATCTATCCGCTGTCTCATCATCCTCTCTCTGCTGATATTTATCTCTCTCTGAAATAATGCCCATTCTTTAATTGGATCCGCATCAAGAAGACACGCTATGTTTGTGTTCTTGTGAATGATTTCCTTTTTTATTGTTTGTGTAAAACCAACAAAATCAGGAACTAAAGTACCGTGATTGGCTTCAAGGAGAGCAGAGACTGAGGACACAGAGTTTTTTTGAAAAAAACTTGCTGTTAACAAGGCTAGCTCTGGGGAGAATATTGCTATGGTAACAGAAACAGAGGTTGAGTAAATCCTCATGCGAAACGGAAAAGTTCAGAGATTCCCAGATTTCATGGTTAACAAACCTTGAGTTTTTATTAAACCTGATTTATGAAACGGGTCTCTGGTCTAAACAGCGGCCTTCAGCTGCCACTTAAATAGGAAATTGAATCCAGCTGCTGTTTTTCTTGCCACAAAGGATATGTTTGCACAAAACACACCGTGAACACAGAGGAACACAGTAGATGAGGTCAGGGTGGAGGAAGCTTAGTTCCCTAGTATGAAACATGACTAGACGATGGATGGAGCAAAATCCAGGACAACATTGGAAGAAAACATTTGAATTGTGTAAAACACCACCGTTCACCAGGACATCAACCTTAAAGGAATAGTACACCCAAAACATGATTAGCCTTTATTTTCTACACACCCCCATGCTGAACAACACTCTGGAG